TCGACAATGCTCCCGGCACAAACGTATTGTCGTTGACAACGGCCGTGTCGTCGAATGTCTGCTCTGGTGGCGTAGGTGGGATATTCTCGTCTTCTTCAACTAAAGGGTCCAATCCAGTCTCATCGCCTACTAGGTCGTCCACCATGTTGCGCATCGCATTGTCCTTAGCAAGCGTAGTGGATGCAGATTCTGAAGCTGCCGCAACAGAGTGTGACTTCTGGTCGTCTGGAATAGGCGCCTCTGTGTTTTTGAACAGAGGTATATCGGTGGCCTGGACTGAAAGAACAGGAGATCCATCTGGCCGGGTCGTTGGGCTCGCCAGAAGCTCCGATGGTAATCCTTCTTCTCGGTAGATAAATCGCGGGCCCGCCAAGTCCAGTGGTGCATCGTCAATCTGCGTGAGGAGCAGACCATCGATCAGCAAATCCTTCACTCGCATGAGCATCTCAACGTTGGGGTGGTTGCGCTCCAGCTCAGTCCACTTCTGCTTCATGACATCTCCCTTATACCAGAGCTTCATGGTATCCGGGGAAATGAGCGGCTCAAAGCCAATCGTATCCGTATCCTCCTCCAACATGTAGTCTTCTTGGGGGAGTTGGTCGACGGGAAAGCTCGAGGCCAAAAGAGACAAGGTAGCAGCGTAAGCTTTCCAGAGCTCTTGGACATCGACAGGATTCAAGGTATCGGCGATGTTGGCGTTGAGTACCTTCCAGTAGCGCGTGAACCAGGTGCTGTATAGACGAAGTCCTGGGAGGATGCGGCGTGCCACAGCTGTAATCTTGTCGGATAGATGGGCCGCGCGGTCGCCATTCTGGTGCTTCACGTCGTTGCCCTCGGAGAGGCGGTCCAACTCCGGCTGCAGGACTTGTAGTAGGATGAAGAATGTCTTGACGTTCAGACGAAGGTAGTAGAAATAGGTGCGCATAATGTTCGGGGGTGGATTTTCGCCTGGTATGATTAGTCAAGTTAGCGTGTGAAGGGTGGACGACTTACTCTGCAACTGCACCGTCGCAAAATATTCTGCTGACATGTTGATGAGAATGATCTTAGTCAAAATGGAGTCCAACGGGTGCTCTTTGAGCTCGATAGCCAAGTGGCTGAGCACCTCGCCTTCCAACTCATCATGCGCCGCGAATTCCTCACCCTTATAGAGCTTGCTGTGCAGTCTGATGAACCAAGCAATCAAAGCCCGACCGGTGTTACCGTCGGCTGACTTGTGGTTGTTGATGAGCTGCCCATTGTCCCAGGCAGTTATGACGCGCTTGAACTCGGTCGCGAGGTTGGCCTTGGCCGACGGGTAAGGCTCTTTGCTTGCCAGCGAGCGATAGAGGTGGTATACGCAGCGGAAGTGGTCGCCGTCCTCGCGGGCGATTACTGCGAGTTGATTCGGCGCATGTCCGGAATCTGGGTATATCTCTGCGGCCAGGTCATAGTAACCTTTGGCTGGGCCCCAATTGCGGTCCTTGTTCTTCTCGACGAGTTCGGTTTCGCGGTAGCGGGAAAGGTCACCGAGTTGGATGAGCGTCTGGTGGCAAGACATGAGGACCTGCGTCTTCAGGTTCGCGGCGATGCGCTGGCGCGGGGAGGACTTGGAGGCTGCTCTCTTATCAGCAAAGTCGCGTGGCGCGCACCGGACGTGCTTACTATCATCCTTCCATTTCTGGGCGATTTTGCGCAGCTCTGGGATGCCGTCAAACTGAGTGTCGAGGTTCAGTATGTATTGGCGGTAAAAGCGCTGGCTGGCCTTGATAAACTGCAGATAGGTCTTTTGGAACTTGCGGATCTCGACAACATGGTCCTTGGATCGCTTGAGCTGCCCGGTGTTAGCGATGCCTCTCGTGCTTCCTCGCGTGGTGACGCACCAGCTTATGTTCCTGCCTGAATTTGGTGTTGACCTTCAGATGCGCATTCCACAGCGTCGTCTGGAGTTCGCGGGCGGATGCGTATTCGAAGTTGGAGAAGATAAGGGCCTCGCAGGCGGCGCGGTACCTGTCGGACATTAGTTGTCGCCGGTATGAAGTGGCAACGATGCCTACTCTTGCAGCACCGCAGCTAACTCGGCGCACGAAGAGCCGCCATCAGCGCGCTTATACAGGTCCTTCTCGATCGCCTTCGCCCGTCTGTACTTTTATTAGCACCCGGCCGACATCACCGGAGTGACGCAATGACGCACCTGTCGAGTTGTTCGGTGTTGGCGGCCATGCCTTCTATGTGCAGGAGCCGGCGACGTTCATATGTGACCCCACGGTCGGCGGGCAGGTCAGACGAAGGCACGGAGCAGGCGGCGGACGTTGTGGCTGGCGTGCTCCATTTATGGTGAAGGGGTATGCCCTGCGTAAAGGACAGAAGCGAGCGGGAGGGTCTCGGAGGCAAACAGCGCCCAAGACGCGGAGCTATGGCGTCAGAGTCGGAGGCGATGGCCGTGGTGAGAGGTGTGAGAAAGTGAGGTTGGTGGATGAGTCGCGAGAACTAGCGGGCGCAGCAGTCTCGGAGCTAAGGTACCACGTCCCGGCCTGGCTGGCTACCAACCCTCTCTCTTTCACCGCACAGCCAACACCCAAGTGAAACAGCCCTGCGAGACGGCACTCTCCCCGGTAAAAGGTACTGCCCCTTTCATCTACGCCTCGTCACAGTCACAATCAACCCCAATCAACATACAATGGGGATCAAGCGCTCACACCGCGATTCCTCGTCATCAGACAGCACACCCTACTCGCGTGAGACATCGGTCGACGTCAAGATTGTCCACCTAGATACCGAATCTGCCGTCTCTGACGACCCCATCATCATGAAGTGCTCACTGCCTCCGCACGAACCGCTTGCGTTCAATTCCATTGAAGACCACGATGTGCACTATCAGCAAGTTCACATGAACCGATGCAGCGAATGCCACAAGAACTTTCCGGATCAGCACTTTCTACATCTGCATATTGCAGAATATCACGATCCTATCAATGCTGCCAAGCGAGACCAGGGAGAGAAAACGGTAGGTCATTTCCTTACTTTGTTTGTCACGTGTTTGCTCCTTCCCTTTCCGCATCTCCCGAGTGGTTCCTTCCTCTTGACAAGATCGCCCACCCATTTGGAGTCAGACTGCTGAGGTATGCGGAGCACGAGCGCCTTCACAAAGACACTGTAGCTGATAGCTCGCAGTATGCATGTCTTTTACCTGACTGCGATCGCATGTGCAGCACGCCACAGAAGCGCCGCCTCCACTGCATTGATAAGCACCAGTTCCCTCGCGAATACGACTTCATCGTTGTGAAAGACGGTATCGATCGCCGAAGCAGCATGCTAATACCCTCTCACCGACGAAGAAGCTCGACAATGAGTTCGGCGAATGGCGCTGCTGGTTCTCCAAGGAGGCGGAGAGGTGAGTCCAGCGCAAGTACTTGTGACACTATGGAGATGGATCACGAAGAAGCTCAGGAAGAAGGAGAAACGCGTCGCTACCCCACCAGACTTCGTGGGCGTGGAGGATTTGGAGGACGTGGACTCGCTCGAGAAGACGCAGCAGGTATCACTGCCTCAAAGACAGTCACTACTGCTCAGCCGGCCGATTCCATGGACAGTCTCACTTCTAGCATGTCTGCACTGAAGTTTGTTCCTCACAGTGTTCGGGTAGCGCGTACAAAGGGTAGAGGAGGAGGTGTCTGAAGATACAGCCTTATAAGGAAAGAGAAGAGTTCGGCTGATACTTTTGTCTTTCTTCTACATTTCTGTGATCGTTCTTTCTGTTGCATTTCTCGTCAAGTCTTGTTGCCTTGCGTTCCTTCCACAAGTGTCGGTTGCCACGTGGTAGTGGTTACAACAACATTTCACTTGACGCCATCCTCGTTACAACATCACTGGTCTTCCTCGGCGATCCTGTATTGCTATCGATCGAGATAGCAAGGTATGTATACAACTTTAAGAGAATTAAACTACAGGCTAACATCGCCGCTGGCCGGGTCTCCTTCTTCCGTAATGCACCTGTCGACACAGCAATGGTGTACATTGTCTGGTTGCACTACGCATTGCGAATCCTCTTACTCTTTTTCGATCGTCTGAAGTCACTCGGGCTGGTAAGAGTGGAGCTTGCAGCCGTCTGTTGTCATGTTTTCCCGATACGCGTGATCCTCACCCGACCACAACAACCGCCCCACCACCGCTTGCGCGCAATCGTCATATGCGTCCGAACCCTCTCCAGACTCATAGCCATCATGAAGCCGTCGACTGTCGCTCGCTGTGCGATCGTAAGCGAATACCTACGCCGAAGGAAGCAGCCATCTTGTGACGCTGCCAATCGCACTCACCCGAAGCACCAAGTCGAACTCTTGAGCACCGCCATTGAACAAACGCCAGACAAGCAAACAACGGAGGCACGAGCTCAGCCAGCGTTGAATCGTGTACAACCCCTCGTCACATCGACGGCGAACGAGAGATGCGACACAGTTGCAGTCGGCGTCAGGACCATCGCTTTGGATAAGATTAGTACAGCACCTAGTAAGTTCCGGTCGGATGCAGGGTAGATGCGAGGTCTGTAATATAAAAGCTTACACATAATTTCGATAGAAAATTTACGCAAGCCGGGCGTTTGGAGGCCAATGTCAATGAGCGAACGCACTGGCAGTACGTTTCTGGCGGCTCTGCAACCCAACGCAGACAGAGGCGCGGCGGTCACAGGAGCGAATGCTGCACAAGACGCATGCGCCGACGGGACCAGCTTGTCTGCACACGACACTGTCGCAAAGGCGCGGCAAGGGACGATCGACCACGAGTACCAGATTTTCACCACCTTCTGCTTCCCTGCCATGGGTGTATCCGCCCCACGATCTCTTCCTCCGACGCCACACCCTGAAGACGCCAGTGACACAGCATCCCCGACCTCAGATACGACCTTGTTCGAAGACGCGCCTGTATGCACACCCAGCCAGCTAGGATGCGATGAAGACATCAGTGCGTACATAGCTTGTAACGACGCATCGATGAAAGGAGTGCCAATCACCTGGACTCCCCAAATGGCAGAGCACGAAATTGATCCTGTCACCAAACGCCCTCTTCGGCATCGTCGATACGTCTCTTCTCAATCAAACTTCGATGTTACTGAAACGCCTCAAATCCCGCTTCGGTCGAGATCAAGAACAAACGATGGGCTGCTGTTGTTTAGAGCAAATTCTTCCAAGGAAACCACAGATAACGCCCCTGAAGTAAGACACCGTCGGAAGGTCTCTCTGAACCTTCCAGTCAACACACACGCAGGCCAGGCCAGCGACACCCAGCTATTTGGAAAGCCCGGTGGCAAAAGTTGTACAAAGCGAACGTCTGGCATGGAGACCGCTTACTATGCCACCAGCTTAGACGCATTGACTCTAGAGGAACGGGATCTAGAGTACAAGCACCGGCATACATTCATAGGAACTGGCTCGCTAGACGACTTCCTAGAAACACTGGAAACTACACCAAACCATACCGCTACCAAAGATGCAATTGCTCGGGCATTCGTACAACTGGCAGCATCAGAGCAGCTCTACGCTCGACAATGTCCTGCTGGTCAGGGGTGGGATCTAGTTATGCGAACAACACTGAGCCTCGTGGACGTTACTAGCGTCGATTACATTGTCCAGTCGCAAGTCAAGCTGGGCTCCATTACGCTACGGCAATTCCTGGACTTGATACCTTTCGATGAAGTCGATGAGGTGGCGGCACTACGTATCGTAGAAGCGTTCTCTATTGCTAGCCATCTGGATGCGATGGCATGTATGGGCGCACGAAGTAAGGCACGAGCTTTCCGGAAGTGGATGGTCGACCAAAAGAGGGCGGACGCAGATTGTTGAGGACGAGAAATATGAAGTACGCGCGCTTCCCCCTACTATACCCAGTCAATTTTCCTAGCATCAATACCCCGATATCACCGGCGTATCTTCCTATGCACGCTCCTGTACAACTGCTTTTTCGGAGAGTTTATGATCAAAACAGTGAAGCAGACACAGTTCCTTGTTTCATTGAGTGTCTCTCTTTCCCATCTGGGCAGTATCCCAAGGCACGTGTCTTCCCTACACCCACCCCGGCCTTGGCGCCTACGCTTCTTGGCCTTCTTTTCGATATCGTCGCTTGACATTCTTCCCCGATCTTACGCCTTCTTCGCACTCTCAAAACGCCACCCAGCTGGCTCTTGCCCACTCATTCCAAATCCTCACGGCTTCCCCCATCGCGATAAGGCAGGTCTCCCTCCAGTCCGAACTTTCACTGAGGGTCCGTGCTCCGCCTTACTACCCCCACTCGATACAGTCTCCAGCCGCTTGCACTGCACTCTCTACTCACACGCAACACACTGAAGGCAATCGATCCGTTCGCCACATAATTGTTACATACTCACGCGAATCATCGATAGCCACTACGATGTCGAACCGCCCACTACCGTCATCAAGCGTTCTGCTAGGAGAAGTCAAGGCCACTGTCTTGCGCAAGTACAAGAAGAGCGCGTCAGTCTTTCTAGAGGACGCCGCTCTCGATATGATGCTTACCGAACATCCCGGTGACATCCAGCGCTACGCCGGATTCTACAACATGGTTTACCTCTTCCTCGACCCTTCTCACTGCCAAGAGTCAAATCGACCGTTTGCGAACCCCCTTCTCACCGATGAAATTAAGGCTCGTTTCATTTGGAACAAGAAGGAGTATGACTGCGCCGATTACCTCGTAGACGATGACGATGATCGCCCTGAATCTATCGAGGCTGTAGCAATTCGACATATTGAAGGGTCCATCGGCGCACCCATCATTATCGCTACGGAACAGGTGGCCGCTATCTCGAAGAAGACGCAGAAGAAGACGTCTGCCATTCAACCTGGAGAGAATATAAAGACACGGCTTCGACGCGTATACAACGAGCGCACAGAGGCAAAGAAGCTTGACAGCTGGCGTGAGCTGAAGGCTACAGTAGAGGCCACTGCGACATGCGATTTACCTGCTCACGTCTCTACTACCCAATTACACTTCTGGAACGCCGTCTTCTTGGACATTCTTCCTTGCCTACCAGCGCCCGAACGCGCCGCTCGTCTCCTGGCTCTTAAGAGTCGTGACATCATCAATGAACAGCCCAAACCATGGTCTGATATCTGGCAGACCTACCAGTACGTTCAACTCATCGACGAGATTGAAACGACTGGGTGGGACGAGACTCTGCGCGAACTATCCGAGAACTACCAAGACTTCTCCGATAAGTTGACAGATCTCGACTTAGCCACACGCATGGCCCTGGGACTCTCCGTCGCACTGCCGCCAGTTCGCGCTGAAAGCACGTCGGTGCTAGCCGAGTCCACCGCTTCCAAGTCATCGACTCCTCACACTCCGGTACTTGAGACTGGCGCTCGTCGACCCAAGCTCCTCCCAAAGTCTCAGACTACGCGGAAGAACTTCGGGGTGGCTTCCTTGGCTGAGAAAGCTCCTATAGCTCCTGAGGTTGCTTCACCGCCGGCTCTACCTCCAGCGCCAACCGAAACCAACATATTTGGGCTTCCTGCATCGGTGCCAGAGAAGCCTCTTTCATCGTTTGGTGGCTTCACGTTTTGTAACTCCGCTTCGAGGACTGCCAATGTCCATCCTACGTCCGTGCTGCTACAGCCTGCCTCAACTCTACAGCTTCATGAAACACCGAGGTTCGACTTTGGCTTTGCCAAGAGCACCTTTGACGCACCAACTTCCATCTATGTACCGAAACTCAATGAACACACTGTTTCCGAGGCGGCCGTCGCCACTCAACCGCCCGAGATACCCAAATCGTCTTCGGCCGAACACGCACCACAGCCCGCAGTACTGACTGGCAAAGATACAAAGTCCATTTCGGCTATTTTGGGTGCTTGGGCTGTTGGCAATGATCATTCCTCGTCAGAGAGCCCTATCATCCTCGCTCAACATACTGAGCAACCTCCTGAGTCTGGGACCCAAGTAGCTGTTGAAGCGAAGTCAAAAGACCGGAAATTCTCTCCTCGTTTGACCAAGCTCATTGATGGACTCGTCGAGAAGATTCGAAAAAGGGCTACAAATGCCGATAGAGGGCAGACGCTCAGAGACACTACTTCCAGGGAAGAAAAGAAGCCTTCGTGTTTAGACGATGAGCAATTCATCCAAGGCGAACAAACCGCCAGCCTCCCAACAAAGGAAGATGATACTCAGTTCCCAACCTATACCTTTCGAGATTTCGCAGAGAAATACGTTCTCGCACGAAGTTCAGATCTCTCCGTGGACGAAATCTTCACTAGGCTTGCCAATTTCTCGAATGGCCGTGTCTTCGATATCAACTGCGTGCTTCTTAATGTTGACGAGAACGATGAGAGCAAGCCCGCAACGTTTGAGGAAGCAGTTAGCATACTCGAGCCGTATCTAGCAGGTCAGTGGACTCTGGAAAACGCGGATGGCGATTCTGCATCCAGTATCAGTTCGACTCCCTCGTTGACGCACTCGCTTTTCTCCGAAGCCGAGCTTGCGATCGATACCGAAATGGCAGAGGAGTACATGCTCGATGGATACGGCTGCCCACTTGAGCTAACAGGCATTCCTCAAAATGACAAGAAGTTCTTGGACGTGATACATACGAAGATCGTCGCAGAGACCGAACAGTATGAGTTCGACTGGGCTGAGGTAGATTGCCTTCTGGGCCCTCAGGACAAGGAAGATGACGACAACGACTACGCTATACCTACGGTCGATGATGACGGGAAACCCATCAAGCTTACATTAGACATAAACCCCCTTCAAGAGGATTGGGCCCGAGGCGTATTCGAGCAGGTCTTCCCAGACTTTGAGGAGGCTGAGGCTAAGCCTCCTGATGTCGCGCCGCGACTCCGGTTGGAACTTGATCAGACATCCTTTTCGAATATGTTCGACTTCGAATTCTTGTCTCAATCAATCGATCTGCCGGAACACACTTCGAACGAGGTGGCGAAGTTGCCAGGTATGCAACTGGTTGACACTCTCATGTCCAGTCCCAATGAGCTGTATCGACAGGCTGCAGCAGCGGGCACTAGACCGGAAGTGGAGCAGACCAATCATCTTTTAGGTAGTTCCCTCGTACTCAAGGATGCGTTCATCAAAGCTGTACCGACCAAGGATCCAGGAGCACCGGATGGCATCCGAACTACTATGTTTCCTCATTGGAGCTTGGACACGGCTCCACCACCAACGTTCAGTTTGCCTCACCCAGGCTCTCGAATATCGACCTCTGACCTCGCAGTATATCGCTGGTTGAGGACTCATCCAATTGATAGACCCACGGGTATTTTCATGAGCAAGCTGGGCGAGCCCGCGCCGTTTGACTTCATCAAGCTTTGACGGTGTTCCCGCAATCGGGAAGCGAGAAGAGTACATGATGTGCGGGATCATGGTTTATTAACTCCCAACACTATCGTCACTTCCAACATATCACAACAAACTGCTTCATCTGCCTTTGCCAAAGAGCTAGGGTAGAGAGTCAACGCCGCTCTGTTGGATCCAAGATCCAGCAGATGAGAAAACCACAGCGTCTGTGTGCGCCGTAGAGCGAGCAGACACGCAACGAAATCCACATTCTGGCCAAAGAGCTAGGTTGTAGAGAGTACCAATATGTATGCCAGAGCCAAAGAGCGAAGGCAAAAAGCAAATATCGTTCTGCTGGGCCAAAGGCTCGGTTGAAGAGAAGATCGATCTGTCTGTCTACACCAACGGGTGAGCAGACACACAACAAAACCCACCTCGGGCCAAAGGTCCAGGCATGAGGGAGCAAGGTGCGCAGCCATTGCAATTGCGAGGGGACGTGCCGCTCAGAGATGCGACATGATGAAGAGGACTACGGCGGTCACAAAGATGGGCGTCTGGTCGAGGTTTCTGCGTCCACGGAGAAGGACAGCGTGGTATTTCCAGCAACGATTCGAGGAGATTTGAGGGTTGGTATGCGCATGAAGTGTCACGGTAGAATCCGTGTCAATGGTGTTGGAGGTTGTTTTGAATTTGGCCGACGACATTTCGTTAGCACACGCGCGCTCAACGTGCGCGCAGGAAGGTACGAGGATGCGAGAAACCTAATCGGGTCGCGAAACACCAAATCGGTGACTTCTAGAGCGGTGTGAGATGACAGGCAATCTGACCGTTAGTGATGGCTTCCTCGCCATCCACAACGCTACTCTAGATCGCGCATGCTTCGAGTTGTCATCTCGACGATGCAAATCCTTGATTTCGAAAGAAATGCATTTTCTCTCGTATGCGGGTATGGCCGTTTCGGATACGCGGCTACACCAAGACCCTAGCAACACGCATCCCACCCGATCATCCGGACAGCGCAACTCCAATGACGAGTGGAGAAAAGCATCTGATCTTCCCCGCATCATCCTTGACGCAGGAACCGATGCCACCGCCTTGATCCAAGTGCAGCCACCCGGACGTCGCGGAAGACTTGCTGCTGTTGTCACGGCCTAAGCTCTCGGCGCCCAAGACATTTCCAAGCGCCGCCAATGCCATCTTCAAACTTGGCGACTTGCATTACGCACACCAGCCCCTATGTACAACGACAACCGGGACCTGCGCGCAATCAATGATAGGGGAGGGCCTGAAGGGCCAGACTAGACGGCCAAGCCTGTCGTGAGTTTCGTAGTCATTTTAACGAGTTTAAACGATCCAACCCTAGCCTCGTACCAACACCGAAGGATGACTACCAAGCGTTGCACTGTCGCCCAGCTACTGCTGCGGCTCAACGCCGTTACTTGGCTGACGGCCGAAGGGGTTTCATAACATCACGACTCGCCATCCTAGAATGTTCGTTCTCTCGTTTTCCCTCGCTTCCTCCACACCAACCTCAGGCTCCGCTTCACGTCGCTCGCTGTGTAGTGCCTCAGGCGCACTCGTTAATCCACGCATGCCGAATACCCAACACCTGTCTTTCCAGTGATACCCCGGAGCTTCCGCCATGAGACCTTCGAACCTTGTTTTTGCAGCAGTCGGCCTGCTTTCCTCGTTCGCCACTGCGCAGCTGGAGTTCAATGTTGACGATCCAGGTGCGCTCACTGCAACTGTTTTCGGACCCCACTAACATAAATAGCCTCTATTAAGGATGCGACAAAAGTTGTTGCGGCGGGTTTAAGAGAATGGTACACTGGTGACAAACCCGGCGATGTACCTGGAAACTTGCCAGACCCATACTACTGGTGGCTATGCGGAGCCATGATGAACTCGTTCATCGACTACTGGTACTACACCGGCGACGACACATACAACAAGATTGTACAGCAAGCGATGGTGCACCAAATCGGTATCCCAAAAGCCTTTATGCCAGAGAATCAGACAAGCACACTGGGAAACGACGATCAGGCGTTCTGGGGAATGGCTGCCATGTCAGCAGCGGAAAACAAGCTTCCAGATGTCGAAGGAGAAATGTCGTGGTTGTCACTCGCCATCGCCGTATTCAACACACAGGTACCGCGTTGGAATCCCGAAACATGCGGCGGTGGACTCAACTGGCAAATTTTCCGATTTAACGCCGGATTCGACTACAAGAACACAATCTCCAACGGATGCTTTTTCAACATCGCAGCAAGGCTGGCAAAATACACAGGCAACGAGACGTATGTTGAGTGGGCCGAGAAGGCATGGGATTGGCAGTACAGTGTTGGTCTCATCAGCACAGATTACCATTTCTTTGGTAAGGATGCTCCTGAATATGTATCAGATGATATACGTGCTAACATGTACCTTTCCTAGATGGTACCAGCGAGAGACAAAACTGCACGGAAAAGAACCACATCCAATGGACCTACAACGCTGGAATCCACATGGCGGGTGCCGCAGCCTTGTGGAACATGTCAGAAGCAAAGGGTGATACGGTAAGGCTTCTTGAACCTGATCTAACTCCACCCTCATTCTAACGCAACAAAGGAACGAGCAGGCAGATGGCGAGAGCGCCTAGGCGGTGTTATCAACGGTACCGACATCTTCTTCAATCAGCAAGGAGCCCCAGACGTCATGATCGAAATGGCCTGCGAACGCAACGGACTATGCGACCACGATCAACGATCCTTCAAAGCCTACCTCGCCCGCTGGATGGGCTGGTCGATGCTGGCCGCCCCCTGGACCCGCGACCGTATCATGCCGAAACTCCGTGCCTCTGCCGTGGCAGCTGCGCAACAATGTGGCCCCGGAAAAGGTGGCTGTGGTCTGAGGTGGTGGCAAGGTGGAAACGACAAGGAGGTGGGCGTTGGAGAGCAAATGTCTGCATTGGAGGTGATGCAGAATTTGCTTGTTGATCAAGTTTCTGGTCCCGTCGGACTTGATAATGGTGGAATCAGTGAGAACGATCCTACTGCTGGAAGTGACGCGGGACCTGTGCGTGTTGAGCATGACTCTATCACGACAGGAGATAAGGCGGGCGCCGCTATCCTTACTCTTCTGGTATTCGCGGTGTTCTTTGGCGGAGGCGCCTGGCTGATTATGAGCGAATAGTTTTACTTCTTAATTCAAAGCATTTTACACTTCATCACATCGCGCGAAATGGGACATTGGTACAGACTGTACACTCAAGGCTCTATCACCGATAATCACCGACAAGAATGCGGGGTGGAGTGGAGTGGTGTCATGCTTGCCAATAACGTATGCGTTTGACGCGTGAAAGCAGTGTGACTCCAAACTTGCAGCACCGTATACGTGTGTATTAAGATCTGCATGCATTTGTAATGCCCTGTTTTCCATGTGTATACACTGCGACCTATGAGAGGGCGCGGCATGCCATGAGCGTGCAGATCATATCCAGAATGAGCGGGGATAGTGACTTCCTAACTCGGAATTAGCGCGAGTATCCCCAAGTACAGCTGCATCACTTCACCCCAGCGATCAGGCATTTGTAAGCCCGCCGGCTACACCTCCGACACCAGAACGACGATATAAGGCAGCTACCGATCTACCAGTCTCAGAAGATCGTTCAGTACTCGCCTGGTCTCACAATCGCAATCGTGGATAGTGACCAATTGCAAACATGACGTCAGCTAAACCCTTCAGCACCGTACCAGCAGGCGCGCAACAGCAGCCCACACCCTTCGAGCTGCATGTTGAGGAACAGAAGTTGCAGGATTTCAAGACTCTGCTCAAGCTGAGTCCAGTCGCGAAAGAGACATATGAGAACAAGCAGAATGCGGGAAGCCATGGCCAGTTTGGGATCAGCCGGCAGTGGATCATTGATGCGAAGAAGGAATGGATGGAAAAGTTCGACTGGTATGCAGGCGCGACAAAGAGTTGAGAAGGAATGATCATACTGACATGTTACAGGCGCAAGGAAGAAGACCGCATCAACTCTCTCCCCAACTTCAAGACCACCATCAAAGACGACGGCGGTAGCAGCTACGACGTCCACTTCGCCGCATTGTTCTCTAACAAACCTGACGCTATCCCAATCGCTCTGTTCCATGGCTGGCCTGGTTCATTCTTAGAGTTCTTACCTCTCATGGAAATTTTGAGCAAGAAGTACACGCCAGATACCCTCCCTTACCACATCATTGTACCGTCTCTCCCTGGCTTCGCCCTGTCGTCTGACCCACCTCTCGATCAGGATTGGAAGACGGCGGACACCTCCCGCATCATGCACAAGCTGCTTCTCTCCCTCGGGTTCGGCGCATCAGGATACCTCGTCCAGGGCGGTGATATCGGCGCTTGGGTCGCGCGAGAGCTGGCATCTACTTACGCTGAGTGCAAAGGCATGCATCTCAACTTCATGCACACGGTCGACATCAAATCATACTCTTCTCCTGAGGACGAGCTCAGTGCAGCGGAGAAGAAAGGTCTGGAGAGGATGAACGAGTTCATGGAAGTAGGCAAGGCATATGCAGTCGAACACGGCACCAAGCCTTCCACCATTGGTCTCGTACTGTCCAGTTCCCCCATGGCGCAACTGGCGTGGATCGGTGAGAAGTTCATGGCGTGGACTGATCCGTCCACTACGCCTTCCGTCAACACAATCTTGTCTGATATTACCCTGTACTGGCTTACTGGCTGCTACCCAACGTCAATCTACACGTACCGAGAGGGCAAGAAAGCCAAATATGTGGACAAACCGACGGGATACAGCTACTTCCCATATGAGCTTTCGCCTGTTCCGAAGGCCTGGGCGGCAAGGACAGCGAACCTGGCGTTTTTCAGGGCGCACGAGAAGGGCGGGCATTTTGCGGCATTGGAGAGGCCCGAGACGCTGTGGGCAGATGTCGAGGAGTGGGTCAAGATCGCTTGGAAATGAGTTGGTCGTGGCGGTGAAGTCAATGATTGTCATGAAAGATAGGAAAAATGATGTACAAGCGGTTCAACGGGTTTAGCCTGAGGTC